GTGGTGGTGGTGGTGGTGGTGGTGGTTGGTGTGCTGGTGACGGGTTGGCTTGGTGAAGGTAGAAAGAAGAGTGGAGCGATGGTGTGACGACGGTGGTGGAGACGATGATGGTAGTGGTGATGATGGTGATGGTGGAGGTGGTGTGGTGATGGTGGTGGTGAAGGTGGAGGTGGGTACTCGTGAGAGGATCCTCGCCGTGTGGAGTACTAAGGAGTAATGACATGGTCTAGGAGATGCCAGTCAGTTTTGTAATAACGCCTGTAAAAAGTGAATTTACAGGAGGAACAAGGTGGGGAAACGTGGCTGAGTCCAATCCTGGTATCCCTCGGGTTCGACAGCTTGGCCAATAGGAGCGCGCCAATTCTTCGTCTTCGTATTTTTTCCGGAATTTTTTCCACTCGTCCTCGACGAGAACACCTTCTCGTAGATACTTTTTTGATTTCGCCATTGGTTTGGGTGGCGATACCTTTTGATGCCGGGAACGGATCGGAACAGAATCGAGCATTTCGAATCGATTATCGTTTCGAGAGAATTCCTAGAACGAGCCGCAAGAAATGGCATCGTGGATCTTTTTACGAGAATTTTAAATCCGAGACAAGGGATAAGGCGGTCGGTAAATATCGAACAAAGGGTGGATTGTCAGTAAAGATGGGAATCAGGCGTCGTTCGAAAGGCGAAATCGTACGTGTCGATACGCGATGGCGCAGGCTGCGCTGTCATTACGGTGCATTATTCATGCATCACCAGCCACCCGGTACATTTAACGGTGAACAATATCGTGAAGGATATGTCAATAAGGTGGTACCGCTGTTAAAAAATAATCTGCCACGAGGACAGTCTGGTGACGAGAAAATATGATTTGCCTCGTAATAACCTCGGCCGTCGATGGATCACGACGATAACTTATTCTTTATTGCATAACAGTAACTTACTTCTTTCTGTCACGATGGATACCGCTCCACGCTTCTCCTTAATCCTTATTACTTCATTTATCACGAGGAATCGCCACCTCGACTCGTCCTTTCCTTCTTATCACCTGTTGCAATCGTGAAATCTAATCACTCGATATGTTTCTCGTTATCGTCACTTATTATCACCTTTATCGGTGACAAAAAAAAAATATTCCAAATAAAACGAATTTGTATATACAACTTTTATAGTCGAGACGAAACGAAGAATAAATATTGCAAAGGAAAAGAAAATCAAACGGCGCAAAATT